CCTTGGGAATGGGGGGGCTTGACATGGGAGGACTTAGGAACGAGGAGACCTTTGGAACTTGAGGAGGGGGCTTTGGAAATGGGGGCAGCAGGTCTGGGCCAGGGGCTGGATTTGGGGGAGCTGCTCTGGGCCAGTCTGGGGGTCTCCCCGTGTGGGTGCCATGGGGTCAGTGCATCCACGTGGGAAAGGGGTTTGGGAACAATGTGCTGGGAGGGGAGGGGGAGCAGCCCCGACCTGCTCCCAGATATTCCTTATCCCCCTGGAGTTTCCCCCGTCCTGATCCTCTCCCTTCAGAGCTGGAATGTCTCCTCCTGGCTGACATTCCCGATGGGATGGAAGCCCTGACCCCTGACAAGGCCCTGCGGCACAACCCTCGCTCGGCGCCGGTGTCTGCTGCCGCCACCAACGGAAAACCTTGGGAAAACGGGAAAAATGGGAATGCAGGTGAAGCCTGAGCGGGTTGTGCTGCATTTCTGGGCTTGAATCCTCTCCAGTGTGAGGCACTTTTGTGGTCCCGGGGTGGGGGAGCAGAGGTTGTTCCCCCAATCCTACGTCGGATCCGATCGGTGTCCGACAGCTTCCAGGAATGGGCACGGAGCTGGGATCTCAAGCCTGATGCTGGTCATGACCTTGTGCTTGAAATAATTGAGGTCCTTCAGCGATTTGTGCTGTTTAATCAAAAAAAAATTCCAATTCCAAGCGAGAAATCCCATTTTTAAGTAGAACCGCAGAATCCTTTCGGTTGGAGAAGATCCTTAAGATCACCGAGTCCCACCATTCCCTCAGTCCTCCACGAAAAGATGTCCCTAAATCCCACAGGAATGGCCCGTGCTGCTTTTTTTTTGGCCTCCTTTTCCATGTTTTGAGGGGAAAATGGGAAGGAGAAAAGAGCCTCCCCGGGGAGCTCGGCGTGGTTTTGACGCTGAGCTGGCGCGGCCGAAAAGGAGGAAATTGGAAAACCCCCCAAAAATCCTCAAACCCACCCCCATTATCCCAAGGGATGAACAAAGCTGATCCTTGGATCCTGCCGGAGGAGGTCAGGGGATCAATCTGTGGCTGCTCTAAATGAGTTAATGAATTGACTAGCTAATTAATTAATTAATTAATTAAAGAAAGCAAAAGTGAAACTACGTGAGCGGAACCGGGAGGAAGCTCATCCCCTGCCGTGGGTTTGGGTTTCTCCCGAGCGTTTTTGGAGGAAGGAATTTGAATTATTTCTGTTTGTTTCAAGTAAGGTTTTATTATTTTATTCCAATAACTCGAGAGAGAGAGAGAGTTTTGTGCTGCTCCTTGAGTGGAAGTGGGTCGTGTTTCCTCCCTAATGGAGGATCCCAGCTCGGATTTGTTTGGGAGAGGGTCGGTTTGTGTGTTTGGACGTTGGCTTTGACCTTCCAGGGGCGAATCCCTGTTGTCTCTCCCGGGGGGTTCAACCTCCTTGGAGATCTTGGGGATAGTTTGCATTTCCACAGGTGTTGTGGCTGCTTCCTCCACGTTGTGTTGGAGAGAAAGCTGGAAAACTTGGAAGGATTCTGGATTTTTTTGTGGGTCACTTGTTCCAAAGAGTGTGTGGAGCAGGGACATGGGGTGAAATCCATGTTGGAGTGACTGCAAGTAGAATCATGGAATCATGGGAGGGTTTAGGTTGGAAGGGAACATAAAGCCCATCCAGTTCCAACCCCAACACTTCCCACTATCCCAGGTTGCTCCATCCTGGCCTTGGACACTCCCAGGGATCCAGGGGCAGCCACAGCTTCTCTGGGAATTCCATTCCAGCCCCTCCCCACCCTCCCAGCCAGCAATTCCTTCCCAACATCCAAACTAAACCTACTCTCTGTCACTTTAAAGCCATTCCATCCTGTCCTGTCATTCCAGGCCCTGTTTATCCAGAGCAACCCCCGCCCGAAACACCGGGGCCGCCCTCGAAAATTCCTGAGGGGAAACTCTTTTTATCCCTGTGCTAAACAACGTGGACTGTGCACTGTTGCTTCCTAACACTTGGATTTTGGCATTTTTTTTTTTCTTTCTCTCTGTGCTGCCAAAGGGATGAGGCCCTTCAAGAAGAGGCACCTCACGGCCCCCGAGTGCGAAGCCCTCGCCCGGAGCGCGGAAGGTTCGTCCGCCCTCACGCAGCCCCTGAGCCAGAGACGAGGGAGAGGAGACGGGAATAAGGGCCTTCATCCCGCCCACCGGCCATGGAGATGCCAGGGAGGTGTGTTGGTTTGGGAATACTCTGCTCTGGAGCCAGGCTGGGAGAGCTGGGAATGTTCCCCTGGAGAAGGGAAGGCTCCAGGGAGAGCTGAGAGCCCCTGGCAGGGCCTAAAGGGGCTCCAGGAGAGCTGGAGAGGGACTGGGGACAAGGCAGGGAGGGACAGGACACAGGGAATGGCTTCCCACTGCCAGAGGGCGGGGATGGATGGGATATTGGGAAGGAATTGCTGGCTGGGAGGGTGGGGAGGGGCTGGAATGGATTTCCCGGAGGAGCTGTGGCTGCCCCTGGATCCCTGGAAGTGTCCAAGGCCGGGTTGGAGCAACCTGGGATAGTGGAAGGTGTCCCTGCCCGTGGCAGGGGTGGCACTGGAGGGTTTTAAAGTCCCTTCCCACCCAAACCATTCCATAATTCCATGAAAAAGAGTTCCCTTGGCTACGTCCCCCTGTTGTGTCCACAGGAGTTGGGTTTCTCCTCACACCACAAATGTCTCCATGTCTGTCCTTGCGCTGTGGGACAATCCCTGGGAAGAGCAGCAGCTCTCCCTGGGGAACCCACCAGCCTCTGGAATTGGACACTGCTAATGAGGGGACTCCTGATGGGAGTTGCTCTTTAAGATAATTATGGAATGTCATCATTAAATAATAACGAGCTGCTGAGCTTTTTAGGGTTACAAAAACCTTGTTGGGCATGAACAGACAATAATGAGCTTCGGCTTTCCTGGAAGTGGGGAACAGTGGGATAAACAACTCCTGGGCTTGGATCTCAAAAGGGCTGAAACCTCTGAGGGTTTTTGGGGACTGATAAGACTTTGAGCCAATCTGGACATGACAGAGCTCAGGGCTCAGACTGAAGGGCAAAGAGCTGTTTTCAGATAGGTTTATTTTATTTTACCATTGTTTTAGTTTATGTCATGTTCATGTTATTAATTTTATTTACTTTATTTTCCTTATTTTTTTTACTTTATTTTTTATTTTACTTTATTTTTATTTTATTTTTTTTTGTTTTACATTATTTTTATTTTACTAATTTTATTTATTTTTCTTTATTTTATTTTTGGTTTACTTTATTTTTATTTTTTTTATTTTTGTTATTTTATTGGTTTTATTTTTCTTATTTTACGTTATTTTTATTTTATTCATTTTATTTACTTTATTTTCCTTAATTTTATTTTTTTACCTTATTTTATTTTATTTTTTATTTTACTTTGTTTTTATTTTATTTTTATTTTTGTTATTTTATTGGTTTTATTTTTCTTATTTTACGTTATTTTTATTTTATTAGTTTTATTTACTTTATTTTACTTAATTTTATTTTTTTACTTTATTTTTATTTTACTTTATTTGTATTTTATTTTTATTTTTGTTATTTTGTTATTTTTATTTTATTCATTTTACTTACTTTATTTTCCTTAGTTTTATTTTTTACTTTATTTTATTTTATTTTTTATTTCACTTTATTTTTATTTTATTTTTATTTTTGTTATTTTACATTTTTTATTAGTTTTATTTATTTTATTAGTTTTATTTATTTTGCTTTATTTTATTTTTACCTTTTTTTGTTTTTATTTTTATTTTATTTTTGTTATTTTCCTTTATTTTTATATTATTTCTTTTATTTACTTTATTTTTATTTTATTTTTATTTCCATTATGTTTTTTATTTTATTTGGTTTTATTTTATTTTTATTTCATTCTTTATCTCACTTTAAAAAATCCTGTATTTTAAATTTAGATGATTTACATGCTGCAGGTTTCAGGGGTTTAGACTTAAAACCTTAGCAGGGAAGTTGTTCTTTTCCAGCCCTGTTTAATCCAAGCTTTCCTGAGCTTCCAGAAAGAAAAGGCCTTAAAACCAGCCTGGGATTTTTTAATTCCTGAGTGGCCTCTTAGCCAAAATCAGGATATTTTCCAGATTTAGGAGCAGGACAGAAGGAATAAATCCGTGCTGGGGAGTTTAGTCCATGTCCTACATGGAATGTGAGAGCATAATTTGGATTTACTCCGAGGTCTCCGGTGCTTTTTGAGGCTGCAGCCAGGAAATACCTGGGAATAAAGGTTTTTTTATCCTCTTAAAGACGTTGATTTCCCTTGTGTTGGGGTAGGAGCAGCCTGGGAGAGGTTTGGGAAGTGTCCTACTCCTGGAGTTGGGGTAGGAGCTGCCTAGGAGAGGTTTGGGAAGTGTCCTACTCCTGGAGTTGGGGTAGGAACAGCCTGGGAGAGGTTTGGGAAGTGTCCTACTCCTGGAGTTGTGGTAGGAGCAGCCTGGGAGAGGTTTGGGAAGTGTCCTACTCCTGGAGTTGTGGTAGGAGCAGCCTGGGAGAGGTTTGGGAAGTGTCCTACTCCTGGAGCTCCCACGGGAGGAACACAAGGAAAAGGAGGAGCCCCGTGGAAATAACTCCGACCTTCCCCAGCCTCGGGCGTCCCTGGCAGCTCAGCTTTCCATGGAATTCACTCCTGCTCTTCCTCCTCGTGCAGGACAAGGCCGGCAGAAGAACATCCTGGATTTCTTCGGGAAATCCCGGAAGCAACAAGCGGGTGCCGCTGGGACCAAAGAGGAGCCGCGGGATCCCTTTTTCCCGGGAGCTGACGATTCCTTCAGCAGCCACACGGACCTCAGCAGCGACTCCTCAGCTCTCCTGGAGGATGAGGACTTCGTGCCAGCTCCCAGGGGAGAATCCAGGAAGCGGTCCCTTGCTGCCACAGCCTCGGGAATTCTCAATCCGGAGCAGGATTTGTGGGGGGAGCCTGAGGAGAAGCCACCGGTTCCTCCGGAGCTCGGCCAGGTCAAGCAGGATCCGGATGACGTGGAAGTGGAGCCAGTCCCTGATCCACACTACGGACTCCTGGGCACTCGGAACTGGGAAGAGCCTCAGGGAAATCTGGATGAGCTGCCTGTGGAAGTCCTCAGGCACATCTTTGCCTTCCTTCCCGTGACTGATCTGTACCAGAACCTGAGCCTGGTGTGTCACTGCTGGAGGGAGATAGTCAGGGATCCACTGGTAAGGAATTCCCTGGGGATGAATTCCAACCTGGACCTTCTCCTCCTGCTCTGTCCTGTCTTAGTGTGGCTCCTCCCAGCCATCCATGCTCTGCCTGTCTCTCTCCGTTCCTTTAAATCCCTTTTTTGCTCCTTTTTTATTCGGCCCTCTGTCATTTTTTGGTCTCCTCGACCATCTTCAGGAGCCAATCTCAACATTAAGGCAACACCCCTGGTTGCATTCTTCCCCTACATGGAAAAAGAGCATCCTGTAAGGCTCCACAAAATCCCCCTCTGCTCTTTTCCATGCAGCCCTGCAGGGAATTCCTGCTGGAAGACTGGGAAGTGCCTTCTCGTGGCTGGTGTTAAGTCACTGTCCTCCAGCCTCTGTGGTGGTTCTTGTGGCCAAATGGGTTTAGAGGAAAGGCCTGGAACTCTGTTTTTATGGAGTGTGGTTCATCTGAAGTCCAGATAAAGTTGGGAACCCGTTTTGGCTGGAGGAAGGATCCCTGAATCCCAGTTAAAGGTGTCTCCAAGGCAGCTCTCCCCTCACTGGTCACCCTGGAATTGGACCAAGAGGTTTCTCAGCCTGACTTGGGAGTGGTGGGGACTGATCTCAGCCCAAATTCTTGTGGAGATCCGAGTTCTCCTTTGTGCCATTCCTGTAAATTTGGATGGGAGAGGCCGGACACAACGCTGGAGGCGTCCTGCTCTCTCCTTCATCAGTCATCAGTGTTGTCAGAGAGTGAACCAGTTAATGATTTCCACGTCCTGAGAGCACCAGAAGAGCTGAGAAGAGGCAGCTGCTCCCCCAGCAAAGCCCAGCCCTCCCTGGGGTTCCTGAGGGACCTTCAGATGGGATCAGTGGGTGCCACTATCCAGCTCTCTGGGGTGCAGAGCCCTTCCTGAGGCTGCCAGCTGGATTTCCAGAGAAGGGAAGAGCCTGGGAAGAGGCAAGTCCTGCCAGGCAGGAAAATCCATTTTCTGATGCCAGTGTCCTCATCTAACCTGGGCTGTGGAGCTCAGATGTTGGAGCAGGGT